CTACAGAAAAAAATATGAAAAGTCAACACTTGCCAAATGTGAGCACATATATCTCCTATTATAAACATTAAAGAAAAATGTGGTAACCCAGATACAACTGTATGATAATTGTAGGAAAATGCTAGCATTTTAATGGTGGCTATTGTATGTAATTGTTGGATTACATACAATAGCTGAACTCAAATTTAAAAACCTATTGCAGTAATATTCTTCATGGGGAAATTAACAGGAATTAAGAATGCTGCCCCTCAGCGACTTTCGCCACCATCTTGTTTCTAGTTGCCAAAAACAAGGCAGTTCCCCAAAGTGTTGTTAGGCCTTGATTTTGTAAGGTGGTGAGTGCACCCACTGATTTGTAAGGGAGTTGAAGGCATTCAGAACATATTGGAGTTGCTCAACCCCTTGTAGGATTGAGTCTTTAAAACTTAATTTTTATTGTTTGTAAACAACGCTTCAATAGAAAGTGAATATGAAACTTAAGCATCATAGGTGCGAATATGGACGATATAAAATGCAAGTCATAAAGAATATGAAAGGTGGACTGCTCAGTGAACACGACAGCTAATGTAACCTAGTTTGGGAAATTCTTCACTAGGCATATTATATTTAATATGGTGGGTCGTGTGATAATTTAAGGTACGTTATATCTTTCTTGATTTAAAAAATAACACAAAACAAACAAAAAACCCTACTTTGATTTTCCTTTTTAAACCTTCAAAAATTTCTTCATTTTATAAAACCTGCATCATTTCTATAGTACATTCATTTGAGGATAAGGCAAAGAAATCATACATTTGCTCTTTTTAGGAACTCCTAACTCTGAGGAAACAGAATAGTAATGTACCATTTGAGGATATACGTGGTTTTGAAAAGTACAGCTGAGCACTTTTCCTCGGGCATCTAAGAATTAAAATACTGTCTTTACCATCAGAATATGTAAAGTCAAACCCAGTTAGGGAAATATCACAAGTAGCGATCTAATTAGATAGTGTCCAGGCAGTAGACCAAGAAAAACACAGGCTCAGTAGGAAGTGATGTTTCTGATTTAGTAGGGGAGATTCTTCTCCATAGGTCACTATTCCAGCATTCTGGTGACATAAAGGAGGCTTAAGGCCACTTGTGCGCCCACAGCTTTTTCTGGAAAAGTAGTGTGGATGTCGACAACTGGGTTTTAGGGGACATTAGAACCCCAAAAATTAGGGTTTCCATTAACAAATATACGAAACACTGATTTTGAAACAGAATTTTGTTTATCTCACTTTATTATGTGGACAAATTTAGTTGTGGTACAAAACTATTCATTAAGGTGTTATTCAATGGCTATTATTTTATTTTTTAGCTTTATCTCCCCCCAGTAAAAGAAGTTGCCCCTGAGAGGTGAAAGCTTGGATCAAATTCCAATTTGGGTAATTATATTTTGCCTATCTCAACTCTCCCTGCAGTTTCATCTTTACAGGTTTTTGTTTGCTGCCAGCTTTAAATTATTGCATAAGTTTCTGGTTTATAACCAAAGCTGAAACCAAACAGGTTTTGCCTGTGTTCACAATGTTATCTACAGGTTTCAGAGGAATGTTATCTACATTTCTCACATCTGTCATTATGTTTATTAATGCTGGTTATTTAGGAATTAGGCTACAAGGCCCATTTAGGAGTACAGGCTCTTATTTATCTTTTCCCAGTGTAAGTCTGTAGGTGTTTATTGTTTGGAGTATCTGTCTCATTAAGTGCCTAACCTCTCTGAATTTCTTATGTGATTCCTTGAAGTTAGGTTTGGGCACTTTTGTCAGGGCAGCCATGACCTAGGCAGATATCAACGTATTCCTGTGGTTTACTAAACCTGGATCTTCTGTGTGTCTTTCCCCTAGTGATACAACATTTTAATCAGGGTATCAACCTATTGCCATCATTTAGGTATCTATATTAGTCCTGACTATGGAGTGTGTTGCTACAATGAAAACAACATGGATATGGAGAAAAATAATACGAATTATCAAGGGAGGAACATTGCCCGTTAGTAGTGAGTGTTTTAGAAGAACAGACACAGAGTGACAGCAATATAGAAATAACTGAAATCCCTGAACCCAATTGCCTTGGAAACTTGCCCCATTTCTTTTCACATACGCTACATCCAATTTATGTCTTTCAGATGAACACTGACTGGGTACATTCACTGGAGATCTTGGTGTTAAATCAGCCCCTATATAATGATGATGTCTAATCCATTTTTGGGCTTAATTAAATAATTGTGAACATTAGCTGAACTCCTGTTCAAAATGCACTGATTTTTTGAATGTAATTCATCAATTCCCTTCTGTATATCTCCTTGCCAAGTTCTTTTTAATACATTTTCAGTTTTGAGCTACAGCAGGCAGAAACTGAAATACCAATATTCATGTTGTGTAAATGATCTTGACAGGCTTTGTTGATTAATGTCCTTCTAAATGTTTTCAGCATTATTAACACAGTAAGTTTGTATAACATTTCTAAGGATGGCAGGCAAGAAAGCCTTTCCAATATAGAATAGAATATCAGGGTTGGAAGGGACCTCAGGAGGTCGTCTAGTCCAACCCCCTGCTCAAAGCAGGACCAATCCCCAACTAAATCATCCCAGCCAGGGCTTTGTCAAGCCTGACCTTAAAAATATCTAAGGAAGGAGATTCCACCACCTCCCTAGGTAACACATTCCAGTGTTTCACCACCCTCCTAGTGAAAAAGTTTTTTCCTAATATCCAACCTAAACCTCCCCCACTGCAACTTGAGACCATTACTCCTTGTTCTGTCATCAGTTACCACTGAGAACAGTCTAGATCCATCCTCTTTGGAACCCCCTTTCAGGTTCCAAAGCAGCTATCAAATCCCCCCTCATTCTCCTCTTCCGCAGACTAAACAATCCGAGTTCCCTCAGCCTCTCCTCATAAGTCATGTGTTCCAGACCCCTAATCATTTTTGTTACCCTCCGCTTGACTCTTTCCAATTTTTCCACATCCTTCTTGTAGTGTGGGGCTCAAAACTGGACACAGTACTCCAGATATCCTCACTTTCAATTCATTTTAATCTGTATGTTTATTATCCCAGCATTCTTTTTCCTTCCCCATCCCCATCTGATGCCTATTACTGCTCAGACTGATCTTGCTTTAGAAGAGAGGTTTCTAAGAACTGCCCAGATGAAATTTCACTACTGGATGGTCAGTTGCTTATACTCTAGCCCTGAAACTGATTTTGTCCAGAGATGTAAGAGCCACCTTCTTGGTACAGTAGAGTGTTTATTGGCCAAGGTATAAATAAGTATCAGAAGCAACTGATTCTGTATTTTGTCCTTTACAGTGGATCACAATTATCCAGCTGGCTGGCACTATGACTGAAGATCATTCTCAGTAGCAAACCCAAGCGTGTCTGTAATTTACCTCTTGTGGAAAGATAATTAAGTACAAACCTGGCCACTGTTAGAAAGAGCTGCAAGATGTACTTAGAATCATAGAAGATTAGAGTTGGAAGAGACCTCAGGAGGTCATCTAGTCCAACCCCCTGCTCAAAGCAGGACCAATCCCAACTAAATCATCCCAGCCAGGGCTTTGTCAAGCTGGGCCTTAAACACCTCTAACAATGGAGATTCCACCACCTCCCTAGGTAATCCATTCCAGTGCTTCACCATCTAATTAGTGAAACAGTTTTTCCTAATATCCAATCAAGACCTCCCTCACTGCAACTTGAGATGGTTGCTCCTTCTTCTGTCATCTGCCACCTCTGAAAACAGCCTGGCTCCATCCTCTTTGGAACCCCCCTTGTTTGCCTATGCCTTCTACATTGATTCAGTTCTGGTGTGCTAGCTGAAAAATAAAGCCACAAGCATCCAGGGAGCTCTATGTTTGGTCTCTCTCACCAAACTCTTGAATGTTTAAATGTAAACTTGAATGTGTAAATGTAAACACCTTGTAAGGTGTCCAGATGCTAGTGTGATGAAGTCAGAGATATGATGATAATGGGTGACACCAAAATTGTTCGAATAATTCATATAAGCAGGATTCAGTGAGAAAGAATGGAGTCAAAACATGGGAAACAGAGCTGCAACTCGTTAGAAAGGTTTGGATACTTGCTGTCCAAATAGCTAAAATTCTATTGTATTTAATATACTTATTACTGATTTGTAGATTGTAAAGCAAGAACAATTACAAGTACATATGTTATTTTGCATATTTACCAGGCTCGGAAGGCAAACCAAGAACTACAGTGCTTTTTCTTAGGCTTCCAAGCTATCATTTCAATAGAATTCCCTTGTGTCTGACTGGCAAACACAGAGTATAACTAATCTCCCCAAAACAACTAGATACTGAGATGATTAACTACAGGCCTGGTCCTAAGACAGTAGATGTCAACAGAAAGACTTCTATTGAACTTTATGGATTTGGATGAGGACCTATACATATCAATATTAATTATTAACTAAGGATTGTACAAGATCTGAGCCAAGCCTGCAATCCTCATTCTTGAGTAATAAGCACAGGATTAGGTATAAAAAACCCCTATATGTTCATGCGTACACAGAGAAAATATCCTATTATGATAGGTTATGTAGCGGCTTTAAGTTTTCTCTCTGTAAGCCATTCCCAGGGTATATTTAAATTATAATATTGTACTTACTGTTGAGTTTGCAGGTCCCTAGTTATATAGCAATATCTGATATGAACTCCAATTTAGCAACTGTGTTGTTATATTGCTTACAATGTCTGACACATATCTATTGCCTCATGGCTTTTCCATATCTAGTAAAGGAAAGAAAAGTTTTGCACCTGTCACTAGCCCTTGTTTTTTTAGTCTGCTCACGACAGATCTGAATAAAGCAGAAATCAGAAGATTTTATGAATATGACAACCGCTTACAATAGGCCTATACAGAATGTAATTTATTGTTTTGTGACAGTTTCAATAATAGTGATGGGAAACACAAGGGACAGAATGTTAGAAAAATTGCACCTCATACGAGGAGAAAGTGTTTTATGTTACCTCCTGGTTAGCAGCAGCTAGTTCTTCTTCCAGTGCAGAGACTCTTTCTAAAGAAACCCTCAGTCGTTCCCTTACCTAGAAGAAAAACCAAAATATGTGCAGTAACGTGATTTCTATGAGTCTTTCAGGTTTATATAATCTGCCATAAACACTACAATACAATCTGCAGGTCTGTTTGCAGGTATGTGTATTGTGTCCTGAACACTCATGAAAGAGACATTAACTAAGAAGGCCTTTTAAACCTGACTCTGAGAAGAGTGAAGCCACATATGTGAGCATTAGGTTATAATCTTTAAAGCCTAACGTTGCTACTATAGAATTTCCTTTTAATCTATGAAATGTACAGTAAATGCAACCTTCTACAAGTACACAAGACACTAAATATAAGAATTTATTGGAACAGTTCCAGAGGAAAGGTATGGAAAAGAACTCCTGAAAACACATTCAAGTCCATTGTGTGAAGAATAACTGCTAATACTAATTTAATTTACCAAATTCATTGAAAAAGTTATGTGCAGCACTATTTGTAACTGACCAAGTTAATCTTTGTTAATAAAGTCATTCACTTTATTTTATCTTTGCAAAAAGTTTTTAAGAATCTACAAGATATATTTCCTATACACAAAAATCTAATGCTGTGTTTGTAATAAATGAGAGTTTATTATATATGAGAGAAGACATTATTATCTATTTTCTGGGCTTCCCTTAATACTGTCTATATTACACATAAAAGGTCATAGTGTAAACAAGAAAGTGATGTATCTTATTCTATAAAACTGAAGGCATATAAACTTCTACTTGTTTGAACACTTAGTTCATATCCAAAGGTAATGATGAAAGAAATGCTAATCAATTAAGAACTTTGGGGAAAATAATTGTCTTTTGACTCTTGCTGTCCTTACTGATGAAAGTGGAATTTTGCAAATGCTTATAATACATACCTAACACAACAGCATTCACAAGAACTAATAACAAATAGCTAACACTTCAAACTGTACATATTAGTACACTATTGAAGTTACTTATGTCCAACACTATGCTGCAATGTGTACACTTATTTTGTCTTATTCTTCTTTAAATCAAATTTTGAAATTAACTTAGTCAAGACAGCAAATACACTTGCAGAAAATAATAGCATCATGGAAAGTTATTCAAATTATATTAATTGACAGGTAAAGAAAACCTTCTGGAAGAAAGAAAGCAATTTACTCTGGCTTAGATTAAATAAAAGATCATGTAAGCCTAGTGTATATCTTAAACCAGTTGTTGCTTGCACAACACTATTTGTTTTAGTTAATTTGAATAAAATATATATTAGCATACTGTTTTAGTAAAAAGCAAGAACAAGTTTAATTGCAGTAAGAACATGCTATGTATCGTCATATAATTTATTCAAATGACCTAAAATATCTACAGTAGTAACTTCTAAATATTATTCATATTTAGGTGTACGTTTTCATAAGACTTCATAGGACTGCCACTCACAGAAACACAAAATTAAAACACATACAAGCACAATCATTCTACAGGTGTAAACACCTGTTTGTATGCTTTAACAAAATTCTAACAGTTGCATGTGAATTTTGAATAGTGTTAGAATTTGAATGTACAAAACCCGCTTGGGCCACATACACAGCTGGAATCTGAAAATTTACCTCTTAAATTCTGTACAGTGCAATACTATAGTACCCAATCCTGACCCTTGTTTATATGGAACTGTGAGGCATAATAAAGCCCAGAAAGCCACATATGTTGCTGCACACTAGGCTGACTAATCCTGGGGATAGTAGGCCCTGGGCTCAATGGAGGAATGTGAGGAACCACATGGTTTGTGAGAGCACAGCCACCCAGTGAGAGAAGGCAGGGAATTAGCATGAATAAGCTACATGCCACTCTATGAGCCACTCTGTTCACATGCCAGTTTCTCACCCTAAACCATATGGCAGTAGCAAAGGTAGGGCTGTCAGTTGGAGGGAGAGTAATTAAACTGAAAAGGGTTTCATTTCCTTCCTTCCATAAATCAATCAATCAATCAATAGATAATCCCCAAAGAGTATAGGGTCGGTCCACTGTCTTTCTGACCCACTCCAGAATCTTAAGCCTCCTGGCTCTAGTTTGTTCTCCCAACCTAAGCAACCATTACATTGACTGAGGACAGTTCTGTTTCAACAGAAAAGCCTATTCATTCTTTCTATACCTGCTTGCTAAACTGCCCAGGGATAATCCCACTCTCCACCCCCAATTCCGATGTTATAATCATTCCCCTACGTGGAACTGCCAATACATGTCAGCCAGTTAGGCTGCCAGTAGTCTGTGACTCCAACAGTGAGAGGAGGGAGAACCTTGGGCAGCCATGAAAACATTGCACAGATGTCTTGAATTGAGAGAAACTTCCCTTTCAAAATGCAAACTAGTCTCTGATGCAGTTATGATGCTCAGAGCTCCTGAATGTTGTGTGTCATAGAAGCTGCAGTCCCCAGATCTGGCTCTAGACCAACAGGATAAAAGTTTAACCTACTAATCTTGGTTATTTCCTGACTCAGTTTGTATTCCTTCCTTAGTCAACCTTCCACTGATTTCAATGGAAAATTGAGGAAGGACAGTGTTGTGCTGATGTGCTCTGACGATAAATAGCACACTGGTATATTCTATATAGAAACTCAACAGTAAGCTTCTATCATAAACAATATTTAGCCCATTTAGTGATGTTTCCCTGAAACCTATAAATTATGCAGAACAAACATTAAAGTCTAACTATGTGTAATGGGACTGTTGCCCCCTTACTAACATTCAGTGGGGGTGTTTTAGTTGCTAGTTCCCAATACTAAAAAGGGGGAAGGGTTGATGAGGAATCAGGACCCTGAGACTGACAGTCCCCAGGAACAATGGGGAGAAGCCAATGCTCCAAGTCAGCCTCAGTGACAGGGTGGGCAGGCTAATCAGGGAGTCAGGAGGCCAGGGAGGTCCTGTCCTCCGTGTGAGCTGGATTTGCCTGGGTCAGACAGAGTGGGGCCGAGCTAAGGAGAAAGCAGGGGCCCAAGCTGAGCTGGGGAGCAGAGCTGGGCCAGATCCAGAGAGAGCAGACCCTGTCCTGGGAGCAGAGCTGCAGCCTCAAAGCCAGAGGCACAGCCCACAGAGAGCAGACTTGCCCTGGGAGGAGAGCTGCAGCAACCAGAGCCAGAGGGGTCAGAAAAGCAGCCCAGGAAGCAGGTCAGTGCTGGGAGCAGAGTCACAGAAGCAGCCTGCAGAGCAGACCTGTCCTGGGAGCAGAGCTGTAGCAACCAGGGGCCCAAGAAGCAGCCCAGGGAGCTGGAGGCAGAGCAGCAGCAGCAGTGCAGAGACAGAGTGGTGGAGCTGGGGCTGGAGCAGTCCGGAGCTGGGTGCGGTGAGCAGCTGGGGAGAGCGAGAGGGACCCTGGGCAGCAGGCCCAGCACAGGGAGACACCTCAGCCATGAGGCTCTGCAGGCCAGGCTTGGATCGTAACCCCAACAGGTCGGGGGCGACACTGAGAAGAAGGGTCCTACCACTTAGCGCCTGAGAGCGTGTGGCCACCACCAGAGCAAGTGTCCAACCCACAGCATCCCTACAGCACAGCCAGGGCCTGAGAAGAAGGCCTGGGACTTACAGGGAACAAACTGTGAACTGCCCGGACATTCCAGAGACACTGTTTGTGATGTTCCCTGCCACAGAATGGGGTGATGTGTTTCCTTAACCTTTCCCATTTTCCCTTATTCTTTTTAAAATTAATTGTTGATTAAATAACTTGCATTTGCTTTAACTTGTATGTAATGGTCAGTGGGTCAGAGAAGTGCCCAGTGCAGAGAGAGTACCCCAGAGTGGGGACACCCTAGCTCCTGTCCTAGGTGAGCGCAGCAGGGTTGGGGGTCGAGCTCCCCAGGAATCCTGGGTCCAGCCTTGTTGGGGTTATGAGGACTCTGCCAGACAGGAGAGTGGAAGGGGAGTCCTCAAGGGCCGGGAGGCCACTGGGTAAAGGAAGTGGGAGCGAGGACTCAGATCCTTTTGCTAGCCCACTTCAGCAGGGTAGTGCAGAAGCCAAGAAAGTTCCCCACAATAGCGGGACTATTCCCCCGCTTACATATGGGACAATGGCCAGAGCCACCTAAAAAGTTTACAACAAACTTCTTATAATAAATCCTATGTTGGCATCCCCCCAAATTTATTTGAAAAACAAAGAAAAAATAAAAAACAACAACAAAAGCACACCCTAATCTAGTTTCTGAATGGTCTAGAAAGATTGGCATTCTAAGTGTCATCTTGTTAGGAGACAAATGAGTGGACAAAGACTCAGGATATTCTTACCTCGTCTATTTTTATATGGTTTTTAATTTTTACATCTGGTAAATGTGCATAATACGGATAACTGGCACTATCATAATGCTTTCTCATCTCTAGACCTCAAAGGGCTTCACATTATATCAGTCCCGTTTATATATGGTGCAGCCAAGCACAGAAATGTCAAGCAATATTCTGGAGAAGAACCACAGGGTTTTGTGAAATATCAGAAATGTGCCTCTGCTGTCCAGTCTGTAAACTGTAACAATACTTGCCCACTTTCTAGGGCACTGGTGTGAGGCTTCACTAAATAAGGTTTGTGAAGTACAGAGAATTAAGACTAGTCCTTGTAATGTGTGGTGGCCAATCAGAACATAGCAGAGGATACACCTCTAGGCGACACTTCTCCTATGCAATGCCACAAATGGTGCAGAAAAGGTATTCCGTTTCCTTTCTTCCTGACTGCACAACCACAGAGCCAGATGACCAGCCACACCACTGGCTTTGAAGTGCCACAAAAAGAACCAGGCTCATCATTGATCTTTCAGTGTCACATGGTTAATCTCTTGCTGGCATTCTGTGGTGGAGAGGTGCCCCACACCCATGCCAGATTGGGCTACAACAGGCCAGAGCAGCTGTGCAAGGCGGCAGCCAATCAGGGAGGGCCTGTTAGAGAGCCAGTCAGGGCCAGTATGACAGCCAGCCAATCAGGGCTAGGCTAGGCCCTATATAAAGGCTGCCCAGGAAGAGAGTAGGCAGACTCTTCCAGGCCTTCAGTGGGT